CCCCCCCCCCCACACTTATTACATGATCTCAAGTAGGTTACTTAATCTCTCTATGCCTCAGTTTCCTTATTTATAAAATAGAGATCAGGTTGCTACTTCAGAGGGGCTGCCATGACAAATCGTAAGTGCTTGTATAATGTATGGTCCATTCATCACTGGCACCTACACAGGAAGCCACTGTTCCTGATGAGGATGACAGGCCAGTTGCACAGAGCTGGGCAGAGCCTAAGTGCTCAGGAGCCTGTGATTTTAGGAGCAGCTGGTCTTCTTGTCAAGGGACATGCAAGGACCACCCAGGAGGAATGACACTCAAGGGATTTGACAGAGCCTCCTTGGGCAGCCTATCCAAAGAAGGGGTTACTGGACAGAGAAGTGTTTCAAGCAGAGAAACGCCACGTACAAGGCTGAGGGGCAGGTATCTGAGTGCTGGGCTAGCGGTTGGGGACCATGCAGTTGGGGGAGGGGGCAGGCTGAAGAGGGAGCAGGCGGGATGGTTTCAAATGTTTAGCTGGATCCTGATGGCCATGGGAGAGAAACAACCTTACTTTGTGTTTTTAAGGGATTGAGTATGGGTCAAAAGTCTGGATGAAGATGCCCGGCGGGAGTGGCTCAGTGGTTGAGGGCACTGACCTAGGATCTGGTAGATCACAGTTCCATTCCTGGTTGGGGCACATGCCCGGGTTGCGGGCTTGATCCCCAGTGAGGTGTGTGCGGGGGGCAGCTGAACAATGACTTTCTCATCATTGATGTTTCTGTCTCTCTTTCTCCCTCTCTCTCTGAAATCAATAAAATATTTTTTGTTTAAAGTCTGGATAAAGATGGAAGTGAGAACTGGGAAAGGGTTGTTTGTGGTGGAGAGACAGCAGCTGGGAAGACAAATCAGTGGAATGAGTGTGGCGAGAGAAGGAAGAGTCCAGAACAACTTCCAAGGTTGTGGTGGGCAAGAGTTGGTGGGTAGGGGAAAAGGTGGCATCACTCTCTGATGTCTAACACAAAAGAAGAACAGAGCGTTGTTAAAAATGATGGAGTCATGTGCCATTGGAACGTATGTCTTGAAGACAGAGACCACTGAGCGCTTCTCTATGCCAGGTGCTGGGCTCAGGGCTCTGCATTCACCATTACTGGACCTTCCAAGGAGCTTCCCCCCGCCACACTCTGTCCCCTCTCTCTCCACTGCTGGTTCTAGTATCATTCTTCCATGATGGGGGAGGTCAGCAGTCTGCCAGAAGAAAGACTCCCAGAGTTTCATTCATATTTACCAATCACTTTCTACATAACATCCTCATTCGTTTTTTTAAAGTTTTAAAAACGTTTTCATTACAGTTTACATTCAATATTATTTTATATTAGTTTCAGATGTGCACCATAGCGGTTAGACAATCATATACTTTACAAAGTGTTCCCCTGATATTTCCAGTACCCAACTGGCACCATAAATAGTTATTACAACATTATTGGCTATATTTCCTAGGCTAGTTATATCTCTATAACTCCTTTGTAACTACCAGTCTATATTTCTCAACCCCTTCACCTTTTTCCACCCAGACCTCCAAAGCCCCTCCCCTCTGGCAACCATCAGTCTGTTCTCTGCATTTATGAGTCTGTTTCTCTGTTGTTTGTTTATATTGTTCTTTATATTCCACATATAAGTGAAGTCATATGGCATTTGTCTTTGTCTGACTTATTTCACTTAGCATATTACCCTCTAGGTTCACCTATGCTGTGGCAACATCCCTATTCTTAACTGAGGGTGCTTCCAAGTCAGAGTAAACAGAAGCAGTTGGCCGAGAACATCCATAAGCCCCCAGGACCACCCATTTGGCCTTCTTGGAAGAATGTCTGTGGTCCCCACAAAAACAATTTGTGCCCTAGATCCCAATGTCACATTTTCTGTCTCTACTAGATCATTAAAAAAAGACATGCACACAAAAACACCTCCTTCTCTGCAGGCTTTTCTAGTACAACTCTGTATTTACCATGTGTGTTCACTCTCATTCTCTCTCCATCACCTGCCCCATGCTGCCCATCCGAAGGGACCATCCCCACTCCTCAGGGCACTAGACATACTGGTTCTCTTCCTGCCCTTGGCACGGGGCTCTCAGAACCCTGCACTCTCACGTCCCTGACTCACTGACAGTTCCTTTTACTCTCTGCTGCTGATGATCCCCTCCCTCCACACTTCTCTGACATGAGTCCACAAGCTCAATCTTTGGGCCTCTCCCCTATCTGTCTACACTCACCTCCGTGGAGATCTCACCCAGCCTCAGGGCTTCAAATGCCTCCTCTACAACGATGCCACCTACCTCTCTTGCCTTGATGCCTCCTTTGAACCACAGACTCACCTGTCTACCTGTCTTGGTCACATGACTACCTGATGCTAATAAACGTTTCAGTGTAACCTGTCCAAAACCGATCTCCTGACACATCAACCTGCTCTCTGAAGTCTTCCCCATCTCAGCAGATAGCAAACCCATCTTTCCAAAAACCTTGGACTCATCCTGGATTCTTCTCTCTCTCTCACACACAGCTCTTATCTGATCCTGCTGCTCCTCTAAAGCACATTCAGAATCTGACCACTTCTCACCACCTAAAGGGGCAGTGTCTTGGTCTGAGTATGGAGTTCCGGTCATCTCTGGCCTGGATTATCACAACAGCCTCCTCATCGGTATCCCTGCATCTCCAAATGTAAATTCCACGAGGGCAGGGACTTTTGTCTTTTCTTTGTATCCTCAGAGCCAAGAACTGTTCATGGCACAGAACTGGCACTCAACAAATATTTACTGAGCAAATGAATAAACCAATGCCAGTCCCTACACTAAACCACAGCAATGCTGCAATCAAGGCAGGCAAGGTATCTGCTCTTGTGAAAGTTATTTTGCAGTGGATGAAGAGAGACCCTTAACAAGTTAACTAATATGTGAACTCATTCCAAATACTGTTAAGTCCTATGAGGTTAATACCTGGGCTAGGTGAACACTTCCAGAATGGGGCACTTCAGATAAGGGTAGAGTGGGAAGGACCCTCTGGGTAAGTCATTTAAGATGAGACCTGAATGACAAGAAGGCACCATGCAAGGTAGTCCAGGCAGAGGGAACAGCAGCAACTGCAAAGGCTTCAAGGCAGAAGCTTTTCTCGAGAAAGAGAAAGAAGACTGGTACAACTGAAGCTCAGTGAACAATGGGGAGATGTGCATGAGATGCGACAGAAGAGGTAAGCAGCAGCCAGGCCCCACAAGACCTTGCAGGCTTTAGGAAGGTGTAGTCAATTCTGTAGCCCATGCTCTCACCTGCCAGGGCAGTTTTACCCCAAAGCCCAGCCCTGGGTACCATCTGCAACACAATAACCTGGTGACCCTCAAAAAAGGCTGATTTTTGAACCTCACCCCAGATCTAGCCCCACTGGAATATCAGTTCTGGGGGCGTCGGGGAATGATTTGCCCTCTGCTGAAGCCCTAGCACGCGTAGTGCCTGGTATGTATTAAGCGTTCAATAACCATATAGTTGAATGAACAAATGAGTTTCCTGAATCAGAAGCTGCAGATGGGTCCCCAAATCTCATTTTACCCGATAACTACAATACCCCACTCCAGAAGGGGGATGGCCTGCCCATAAAGCCCCAGGTGTCTCGGCCTGTCCTTCGGTGACGACGACATAAGTCCAAAAGCGCCAAAAGAGGGATGGAAGAGGGATCGGCTCCCGATCCTGCCGTGCGGTCCCCCCAGGCTCACCAAGGCTTCGGCGGCTGTAGAAGCCAGGCCTCCGAGCAGCCGCGCTTAGCCGGCGGGGACCCGGGGGAGTCCAGCTCCCTGACGGGCCACCCTCCAAGCAGGGCACCCTCGGCACCTCCTCCGAGAGCGGCCCTGAGTCGAAGAGCACCCAGCCTCGCCCGGCGCCAACGCCCTCCCGCGCGAACCGTCACCTGCACTAGCTTTCCCTCGTGGAGTCAGCCTTGTTCACCCGGGAGACAGTGACTTCCGGTTCCCAGCGGAAGTGGAACCCCCTATCCTCCCCCTCATGTCCCGCCCACCCACTGCCGGGATAGCCTAGAAAGCAGGGCCCGCCTCGCCAACGTTTGTGCGCATGCGTACTCTCATCCCGGGGAGTTTCTCAGTGCGCCTGCGCGTGGGCTTGTGCGCGTTTGATTAGCCGCTCCCGAGGATACTACTTCTGGTCAGCTCATAGGGGTGGCCGTTCCCTCTCTTCGGGGGCCTTGGGCCGAGCCACCCCTGAGCTGCACAGGTATCCTTGTTTTCGGTCGCAGTATCTTCCTGGGGATGTCTCACTTGCCTTTCCCGATTCAAGCCCCAGCCCCTCGCAGCCCACCCAGGCCTCCCCAACGTGGGGCATATTAAAACATCCCGGTGCTAAGGAATTGCAAATACTGGTATTGCTCAGTCACGGTTAGGGGGAAACTTGTAAGACGCTTTTCTCAAACTTTAACAAGAACCTTCGGGTCTTAAAACAATTCAGCGTTTGATCACTGGTGACTTTGATAAGAACTGTGTCATTAGAGGGTTCAGGAAAGTAACTTGTGATGTTTGTTAAGTAGACCTATCTCCAAGATTTCCACTAGGGGGCAGTGTTACCCTTGGAAGTGCCTTTCCAAGACCCCCTTCTCAGTGCTGGTTACAAACCTGGACGCACAGCAAGGGATCATACAATGAACGTTGCCTTGCAACTTGATAGTTCCACTTAATGGTCAATACACATACAGATAACTCTTGTTTTTAGTAGCTACACAATTCATAGTGCAACTCTGCCATGGTTTATGGGCAATCTTCTATTTGCTGAAGATTAGTTCTTCCCTCTCTCCTTCCCTTCCTTCACAGCTTTATTGAGATATACTTTATAGAAAATAAACCGCATGTATTTAATGTATGAAATTTTATGTCTTGACATGTGCATATATCTGTGAAACTATTGCCACAATCAAGATAGTGAACGTTTCCATCACCCCAAGAAGTTTCCTCCGGTTTCTTTGCAGTCAATTCCTTCGTTGCCCCTACCCCCTGGCACCAACTGATCTGTTTTTAATTCCTATAGCTTTGTATTTTTCAGAAAGTTACATAAACAGAATAATACAATATGTAACCTTTTGAGTTTGGGTTCTTTTATTCAGCTTACTACCCTCTAGCCTATGTTGTATCTATCAGCAGTTTGTTCCTTCCTGTTGTTGAATTGTATCCCATTATGAGGATATACCAGCTTGTTTATCCCTTCAAGTATTGATGGACATTTGGGTTGTTTCCAGTTTGGGGACAATGATGAGTAGAACTACCGTGAACCATCTCATTCAGATCTTTGTGGGGATACTCATTTTCATCTTCTACTTTGTTTTATTTTTACATTGAAATAGGTGATCCCTCTGGAATTTATTCTTGTATATGGTTGGAAGTAGGATTCAGGCTCTATCTTCTGGGCAAATCAACAAGGCAAATCATACCGTTTCTGTAAAATTGCAATACCACCTTCAACCTACATCACATTCTTGTGTGTTTTGGAGTTTCTTTCTGGATTTCCTCTGGATGTTTTCCTGGAGTCAATGTCGTTCTGTTTTGATGACAGTGCGTTTGGCTGTGTGAGAAGGCAGGCCTCTTACCTTTGTACTCATGATTCTTGGCAGCTGGTGAGGAGGTGGGTATGGCCAGACTCTCACCTGCTTGCTGCTTGAGGGTGCTGGTGCCCGTTCCAGCGGTCGGCGTGAAGAGTGAGCAGTGGGGACATGACAATGTCCGCGATGATGGAATCAGATGTGGTTGCTTGGGAAGAGTGAGAAGACCCTGCGACTGGCCTTAGGGAACTCTCTTATCATATTCCTTGCAGTTTAGAAGGCATTTTTCTAACAGTGACTGTGTGCGGGTTGGCGTTGTTCCCTGAGCCCAACAGAAAGTCTCTGAGATCAAATGTCTGCCCTGCTTTATTCTTTTTTTAAAAAAAGTAATTACGTGAATAGCAATTCCATCTTTTTAAAAAATATACGTTTTTATTGATTTCAGAGAGAGGAAGGGAGAGGGAAAGAGAGGTAGAAACATCAACAATGAGAGAAAATCATCGATTGCTTCCTGCATGCCCCCTACTGGAAATCGAGCCTGAAATCCAGGCATGTGCCTTGACAGGGAATCGAACCGTGACCTCTAGGTTCATGGGTCGATGCTCAACCACTGAGCCACACTGTCGGGGATACCCTGCCTTATTCTTTTTGGTGCTCCTGTGCCTCCAGCTATCTGACACAGGACTTGATCCTTGGTGCTTGGTAGAAGTACTTGGTTGTTGTGGAGGAGGGGACCAACCCCATCCCTGCCACACATTCCCTGTGTCAGCTTTGATGTGTCACTTCTCCTTTCCAACCTCTGGGCCCTGTGAACAGGGACATTGGGCTAATTCCACACTTTAGGCCCTTCGAATGGGGATATTGGGCTGATCTCTGACTCAGACCCCTTCCTGCCCAGAGCCTCTGAGTCAGTGGGAAGAGGCAGGGTGGCTGTGAGCTGCCTTGACATCAATTGGAAGGTACTTAGGGCTGGTCTTTGGGTAAGAACTTTACTTAATTTTAGCCGTACACATGTATCTTGTAACAAATTTGATACTATGGACATCTCTAAGGTAGCGAATAAAAGGTGCCCCTTCACCAAGTTCCTTTCTCCAGCAGTAACCTGTTACATTTTGTCCAGGCTCTTTAATTTTGCTCAGCTGGGCTGGCAGTCCCTGCCCTATAGCAGCTGAAGCAGCAGTTGAGGTCAGAATAAGGGAGAGGTTTCTGTGACTCGCCTGGTGCTGGATGACTCAGGCTGTCTATGGGTGGGTGTTACTCAACTCTCCCCAGAGAGGAACTGGGCTTCTCTGCAGCTTTCAGCTCAGGGTGCACATTCTGCTTTCAGCATTCATCATAAGAAACAGGTCCTGAGCCCTGGTCAGGTAGCTCAGTTGGTTAGAGCGTTGTCTCGATATGCCTAGGTTGCAGGTTCAATCTCGGGTCAGGGCACATACAAGAAGCAACCAATGAATTCATAAATAAGTGGAACAATAAATCAATGTTTCTCTCTCTTCCTCCCTTCTTCTCCCTCTCTAAAATCAATCAACAAATAATTTTTTAAAAAAATATATCTTTATTGATTTCAGAGAGAGGAAAGGAGAGGGAGAGAGAGATAGAAACATCAATGATGAGAGAGTCATTGATCGGCTGCTTCCTGCACGCCCGGGCATGTGCCCTGACCGGGAGTCGAACCCTGATTGACTGGATCCTAGGTTGACGCTCAACTGCTGAGCCACTCCCGGCGGGGCAACAAATTAATTTTTTAAAAAAAATCTTCTTAAAAAATAACAGAAAAAAGAAACAGGCCTTGAAATAATTTCACTTCTGGAAGTTTTTCTACATATATACTTGCACAGATGTACAAAAATATGGGTCCAGGAATGCCTACAGTTCTTTAGCTGTGTTGGTAAAAGGAAAAGATTGGAGAAGATTTCAACAGGCCCCAGCAAGGAGTTGGTGACATAGATGGAAGCTCCATGGCTAATAAGAACAAAAGAATGGCAGTCCTCCTTTTTGGAATGTGTCTTGTTGATCCTACAAACATATCTGCCCATGCAGGAAACAGTGACAGGGTCATTTATTGCAGCTTTGAGGATAGAAATTGGAAGCAATCCCGGCAACCCTTATGAGATGGTTGGATAGGCAGTGGGTCAGACACACAGTGGGGCCTCTGTAGCCTCAGAAAGAGCCAGAAGCCACTGAGAGCAGATAGGCAGATCTCCAGGTATAACAGGCAGAAACAGGAAAGTGCAGAAAGCACCTTTGGAGGTGTGGGACATGCTTAAACCTGTATCTTAATTGTGTGTCTTTGTCAAAACTTATGGAACTGTACGTTTTAAATGTATCAATTATACCTAAATAAAGTTGGTTTGAAGAAAAAAACACACCAAAAAGCCAGGTGCGGATCAGAGAGGAGAGAAAAAAAATTTACATTTGTTTTTATTTGCATAAAGACATACTAGAAAAAAACAAAGCATTTATAAAAAGTTCTTTCTTTCTAGGAGAGGGGCAGGGAAAGACAAGGAGGTGGGTGAGATTTCACTTGGCTGTAAACTTTAGATTTTAGAGCCATGTTATCTTATTAGCAATGTCATGTTGAAATGAACAAAATGAGTATTCTGTTATGAACAGTTGAGTTGTGGTTTAGTAGAAAGAAGACTTGTGGTTAACTAGAAAGAACAGGTGCAGAACTGTGTGGATATTGTTTTGTGTAAAGAAGGGATGTTTTTCTGAGGAGGCATCAACTGCAGAAGGAAAGAAAATGATGGTGGTGGCTGTCCCTAGGGAGGTGGGCTGGGAGAGGAAGGCTTGTCTGCTCTACCCCTTCCTTTTTCTGTTTGGTCTTTTTTTTTTTGTGCAGCAAAGCAAGCAAGAATTTATTGGCGGAAACAAAAGCACACTCAGGACAGTGAAACAAGGAAGGGCTTAGGATAGAAGAAGCAACAGGAGAGCTTAGGCACTGCTTTGGCTCACTGGGAAGTCAGAGAAAAGGGGGCTTCGGGGACAGATTCAGGGGTAAGCCTGGGACAACCTGCTGCTGCCCATTGCTCCCCTGGTTGCAAGACTTGTGGGGTCCCTTCGAGTTTAAGAGATGCATGCCTGTGGGAGAAGAGGAGGAAGGGAATAGAGCTCCCTTTTGGTCTTTCCTTAAAATCATATCCATGTATGGGGCTAGCTGGTTACAGATGGGGTTAAGAGATGGAGATGCAGGCCAGCAAGGGGGGAGCCAGACACTCTAGTACCCAGATGATGCAATTTGCCAGAGAGGTGAGGAAAGGGACACTTGTGATACACTTGCAGTCTTGCATCTATTTTTAAAAATGTTTTTATTAAAAAAAGGTTTTAATTGATATTTTTAGAGAGAGAGAAACAGCAATGTGAGAGAGAAACATGGATCGGCAGCCTCCTGCACAGCTCCCACCAGGGACCCGCAACCAGGGCATGTGTCCTGACCAGGAATCAAATTGGTGACCTTTTGGTGCACAGGACGCCACTCAACCAACTGAGCCACACCCGCCAGGGCGCATCTATTCTTTTATTGAATATTTGGCAGTGACAGAAGATGTCAGGTTCAAATGCATGTGTGGCTCTCCTTCCCACTCAACAGGACCACAGGCCCCTGAGAAGTCCTGGCAAGGGGCGGGGATCCCAGTGGGGCCCACCACCCCACTGGCAGGGAAGGCCCTCGGCCTCAAGCCCCTCACAAACGCTCAGGCCTGGCACGCCTTGGCAGTTTGGTCTTGAAGAGGGATTTGCCCGAGGCCTCGATGTAAGTGATGCTCATCTCTTTGGGACTGATCTCTATGTAGGCGAAGCCACCCAGTGAGTTCTCAACCCCATAGTGGAAGCGCAGGTAGCCGCTGGGAACCTTGCGAAAGTGCCTCTTCGAGGGGTCCATGAAGTTCCCAGCCCCACTCAGTATGTAGCCGATGCCATTCTCATCCTCAAGGTACTGTGGATGGAGGACTCGGGGTCAGTGGAGCCCCCAGCCCCTCAGTGAGGCTGACCACAGGCTTTGTGCCTATCTGTCTTGAGTCCAGGGTCTCGAGTCACTTTGGGAAAGGAACATAAACCCCCCTTGGGCCTCAGTTTCCCCACTTGTAGGAGTCTATTGATCCTACTTCACAAGTCTGCACTGAGTAAGCTATTGCCAACTGGTAGCTATTACGATGGCTTTTAGGGAACTTTGGGTTGTTTTCCTGGTTAAAGAGCATAGTTTCAGGGAGAGTGACATTTGGGAGATCCCCAAACAGCAGGAGGATCCCAATGTGCCATGGGGCACATCAAGTGGGGTAGTGACCCCTTACCTGCCTCCCCACCCCACCCCACCTACAGGCTCCTCACCTGCAGGTTGTGGTCATGGCCACTCAGGTAGGCAGTGACCTTGTATGTGGTCAGTAGTGGCTGCAGTTGACGGACCAGACAGTGGGTGGGCCCATGCTCAGCAATGGACCACACTGGGTAGTGGCCAGCCACCAGCAAGTAGTCCTCTTTGGCCACTGCCAGCTGTTTCTTGAGCCAGGACAGCTGTGTACGGGCCAAATTTGGGTCACGGGGCCTCTGTGGCTGCTGGCTGAGGAAGTCATCCGAGTTGCCACACAATGTCACTGTATCCAGCATGAAGATGGCCACAGTCACATTGGACCGTGGGATCTTGAAGTGCAGGCGGAAGTAAGGGCTGGGGAAATTCCTGTGGAGGGGACAGAGATGGTGTGCACACACATGTTGGCTGGAGAGGCCCCACGGTCAGCTCAGTCCAATGGGCCCCTCTGTCCATGTGAGGCTTGGGGGATGGGTGGGGAGCAGGCTCACCAGCGCTTGGAGATCTTGGAGTAGGCGATTTGTGCTGAAAGGTTGCCCAGATGGTCATGGTTGCCAGCCAGCACATACCAGGGCACGTTGCGGAGGGAGGGGGCAGAGAACACATCCTCGAAGGTCTCCTGCAGCAGACAGAAAGGGCATCCCCACCCCAGGGTCAAGCAGCCACCCTAATGCTTCCACCACATCAGGAGCTGGGGACAAGAGACACTAAGAGCTCTAGATCCCCACAGGTGTTGGCTTTCCTTTGCCTTCTTCAGAGTCAAAAGGTTGAGTGGTTTCTCCACATGTCCCCGACCCCCACTCTAGTGGCACACACCTGGAATCTCTTGTCGTTGGCATCCTGCACGCCAGTAAAGTAAAAATTGTCTCCCAGTGACAGGATGAAGTCTGTGCCTAGGATCTTCGCAGTCCTGGCAATCTCCTTGGCATTGGCTGTTTCCCGGGCTGTGTAAAATGGGGCATTGGGGACCCCTCCCCAGTCACCCACAGCCACAAAACGCAGGGTGGGAGCAGTGCCATCAGCCAGGGGGAGCACCAGCAAGGCTTGCAGGACGAGTAGCACTGTCCTTGTGTCCATCTGGGAGGGGAGAGACAAGTGTCTGGGGACCTGGGGCTGAGGCTTGGGCAGTAGGCTCTTGAGATACCCATTTGCCCTGTTCTGGCCCAGCGGGAAACCCCTGGGGGTGCCCTAGTTCCCAGGACTTCAGGGTAAAGGTGGCTGGGAGGGTAAGCGGGTGGGTAGGGTCCAGCCAGGGTCCAGGAAGGGTGGCCATGCAGGCCCATTTTGCCCTCCCTCATCCCAGACCCAGCACTCACCCTGGTGGAGGCACAAGCCAGTCAGCTGGGCGCTCCAAGGGGCAGGTGAGTTACAAGGCCGGGCTGGCAAGGGTCACTGAGCCTTTATTCTCTGGGGCGGAAGTGGATCATTAGTGAGGATGATACAGTTTCTCCGGGGACTGTTCCAGAAGCCCTCCCCTTGGGTCATGTGAGCCTTGGAGTTCCTCAGCTATGAACAGTGGATTGGGGTGGGGGTGTCTGGCACACAAGTGCAGCCCTGCTTACTGTCACAGCCTCCTCCCAAAAGACCTTGTGTTGTGAGCCACTGGTGCCAGGTGCTGTTATCTGCGTGCTGCGGATGCCCCAGCCAGACATATCTCGTGAGTCCATGTTCTCCGAGGACGTGTTTGCCTGTGTCTGGGTGTGTCTGAGCTGCTTTCTCTGTGCAGCCAAGTGTGCCTGCCTGGGTCACAAGTCTGCTGTGTGCCTGGGAGTCCTATGTCCCTGTAGACGTGTACCCTGAGCCCGCAAGGCCCATGTGTCTGTGATGTGCACCTGAATTCTCAACTGAAACTGTGTGGGATGACTACTTGGGCATCCGTTTTGTGCCTGGGTCGAACTGTGTGTCTCTAAAGTGAGTTGTGTGTATGGTGTGTGTGTTGTGTTTGACTACATATGAGTATGTGTCCCAGGGTCATACCCCTCCGGCAAAGAGCTGGGTCTCTCTTTTCCAGGAAGTTCTGCCCACACCTTCCTCTCTTCCCCACCCCCATTCCTGCGGAGGAACCCAGGCGGGAGGCAGCTGATGGCACTGGCATGTGACCACGGACTTTTAACTCTCACACCCTCAACTGCTGGTAGGCTGTCCAAGTGACCCCAGCCCCTGAGGACAGGCGCCTGGGCACTGGGGCCCCTGCACGGTGGCCCGTCTGACCTGCCCCGCACCTCCCTGCCTCCCTCTTCCGGCCTCATCAGTCCCCCGCACACTCAGGCTGGTTCCTACCGCCCCTGGCCAGGGCGCCAAGGGGCCCCTCCTTCAACGCCTGGGTCACCCAGCTCGGGCTGGCTGCCCCTCGCCTCGGCCTAGGAGAACAGCAACTGGGTCAAGAGGAGAGGGGGAGACCCCTCCCACGGGAATCGGCCAGCACGTCTACACCAGCAGGGCCGGTCTCACCTGTGGTTGGCTGGGCCTC